GTTTTTTGCCTCTGTCCTTGGAGATAAATGGATTACTTCCCAATTATCACCAGGATAGAAGACTCTGTGGAACTGATTTTGGGCAGAAAAGCTATGCTTCATTTGGCCACAAAGGACTACGATCTATCTTTTGAACCAATAGACCAATTTGTATGATTTTGACTTATGTTTGTATTTGGAGTATGCTGATTCTGAAAATGTAAGTGAATGTGATGCATACTTTTAAAGTTATGAATAATGTGGAAAAACTGTATTTCTCTGCCTGTGATAATTACATTACCCATTGTGTAAGGTAATTGTATCTCAGGCAGAGGGGAGGATTTTGTGTGGGAGTGTCTGAGTGTACTGTATGTGTTTATTGGTTGTTTTCCAAAACCCTGTGGGTGGTACTAATGTGTAAGAATGTGTACATAAGCACAATAAACCAACAGCTCTGTCTGTTCCTGCTTGACCCTCAAAACGGAGCCTTGTCACGTTCTTGGGGGGATTTAATGTATGCTAACACTGCGCCGGTCGGGGCCACAACACATAATGGCGGGCACCTGGTGTATGCAGATACACATTCACTTAAAGGACCACTATAGGCACCCAGACCACTTCAGCTCAATTAAGTGGTCTGGGTGCCAGGTCCCTCTAGTTTTAACCCTGCAGCTGAAAACATAGCAGTTTCAGAGTTTCTCACTGACAACCGCTAGAGGTGCTTCCGCGATTCTCACAGTGAAAATCACAGTGAGAAGACGCTGGATGTCCATAGCAAAGCATTCAGTAGTGCTTTCCTATGGGCGGTTTGAATGCACGTACGGCTCTTGACGCGCATGCGCATTCGGTGCTGAGAGATCCCCATCGCTAAGGGAGCCCGTCGCTGGAGAAAGGTAAGTGCTAAATGGGTTTTAACCCCTTCAGGCCAGCGGAAGGGGGGCACAATGGTGGGGGGGACCTAAGGATTTTATAGTGCCAGGAAAACAAGTTTGTTTTCCTGGCACTATAGTGGTCCTTTAATGACAAACATTCAGATACACATACAGACAAACAGATACCCAAGAGATACACATACAGACCCACATGCAGACACACACAGAGATACACATGCAGACACACAGAGAGATACAAATACATACACACACATACAGACACACACTCATGGTGACAGACCTACATACACGCTCAGTGACAAACACATACACTCTCACCAACAGACACACACACACTCTCACCAACAGATGCATACACACTAGCTAACAGACACACACATTTACTGACAGACACACATACACATTCACTTAAACAACATACACTCTCACTGACAAACACACACTCACTAACAGACACCAAACAGACTCACTAAAAGACACAGACCCAATGACAGACACACACACAGTAACACACACACTCACTGACACTCACTAGCAGACACACACTCAATAAGACACACACTAACAGACACACACAAACTAACACACTTAGTAACAGGCACACACAGTAACACACATACACACACTTACTGACACACAAAAACTAACTCTCACTAGCAGACACACACCCAATAACAGACACACACAAACTAACACACTCAGTAAAAGACTCACTAACACACATACACATTCACATTTTTTTAATTTAATTCCCTAGAGCCTACCTACCTTTGGGAGTGCTGAGGGGATTCCAGCTTTCCCTGGGGTCCAGTGGGGCTGCTTGGCGGCGAGGGAACACTGATCCTCCTGTTCAGCTCCCTCTCGCACCGCTTACTGATGCCGGAGCAGGGTGACGTCATATTCCACTTGCCTGCACTGTAACGCCGCTGCCATTGCTGGCTGTGTGTAATGATTACACCGTATTAACCCTGTCATTGCTGGCGCTGTGTGTAATGATTACACCGTATTAACCCTGTCATTGCTGGCGCTCTGTGTAATGATTACACCGTATTAACCCTGTCATTGCTGGCGCCGTGTGTAATGATTACACCGTATTAACCCTGTCATTGCTGGAGCTCTGTGTAATGATTACACCGTATTAACCCTGTGATTGCTGGCGCCGTGTGTAATGATTACACCGTATTAACCCTGTCATTGCTGGCGCCGTGTGTAATGATTACACCGTATTAACCCTGTCATTGCTGGCTCTGTGTAATGATTACACCCGTGTTAACCCTGTCATTGCTGGCTGGTATTGGCCAATGATTACGCATTAACCCTGTCGTGCTGGCTGGTATTGTAATGATTACACCCGTATTAACCTGTCATTGCTGGCTGTGTAATGATTACCGCATTAACCCTGTCATTTGCCAGGCGTGTGTAATGATTACACCCGTCAGTAACCCTGTCATTTGCGCTGAAGCTCTGTGTGTGATTACCCGTGTTAACCCCTGTCATTGCTGGGGGTGTGTAATGTGATTTTACACCCATTAATGTCATTGCTGTAGCGGTGTATTGAGTTACCGTTTGTATTAACCCTGTCATTGCTGGCGCCGTGTGTAATGATTACACCGTATTAACCCTGTCATTGCTGGCGCTCTGTGTAATGATTACACCGTATTAACCCTGTCATTGCTGGCGCCGTGTGTAATGATTACACCGTATTAACCCTGTCATTGCTGGCGCTCTGTGTAATGATTACACCGTATTAACCCTGTCATTGCTGGCGCTCTGTGTAATGATTACACCGTATTAACCCTGTCATTGCTGGCGCTCTGTGTAATGATTACACCGTATTAACCCTGTCATTGCTGGCGCTGTGTGTAATGATTACACCGTATTAACCCTGTCATTGCTGGCGCTGTGTGTAATGATTACACCGTATTAACCCTGTCATTGCTGGCGCTCTGTGTAATGATTACACCGTATTAACCCTGTCATTGCTGGCGCTCTGTGTAATGATTACACCGTATTAACCCTGTCATTGCTGGCGCTGTGTGTAATGATTACACCGTATTAACCCTGTCATTGCTGGCGCTCTGTGTAATGATTACACCGTATTAACCCTGTCATTGCTGGCGCTCTGTGTAATGATTACACCGTATTAACCCTGTCATTGCTGGCGCTCTGTGTAATGATTACACCGTATTAACCCTGTCATTGCTGGCGCCGTGTGTAATGATTACACCGTATTAACCCTGTCATTGCTGGTGCCGTGTGTAATGATTACACCGTATTAACCCTGTCATTGCTGGCGCTGTGTGTAATGATTACACCGTATTAACCCTGTCATTGCTGGTGCTGTGTGTAATGATTACACCGTATTAACCCTGTCATTGCTGGCGCTGTGTGTAATGATTACACCGTATTAACCCTGTCATTGCTGGCGCTCTGTGTAATGATTACACCGTATTAACCCTGTCATTGCTGGCGCTCTGTGTAATGATTACACCGTATTAACCCTGTCATTGCTGGCGCCGTGTGTAATGATTACACCGTATTAACCCTGTCATTGCTGGCGCTCTGTGTAATGATTACACCGTATTAACCCTGTCATTGCTGGCGCTCTGTGTAATGATTACACCGTATTAACCCTGTCATTGCTGGCGCCGTGTGTAATGATTACACCGTATTAACCCTGTCATTGCTGGCGCTCTGTGTAATGATTACACCGTATTAACCCTGTCATTGCTGGCGCTCTGTGTAATGATTACACCGTATTAACCCTGTCATTGCTGGCGCTCTGTGTAATGATTACACCGTATTAACCCTGTCATTGCTGGCGCTCTGTGTAATGATTACACCGTATTAACCCTGTCATTGCTGGCGCTCTGTGTAATGATTACACCGTATTAACCCTGTCATTGCTGGCGCTCTGTGTAATGATTACACCGTATTAACCCTGTCATTGCTGGCGCCGTGTGTAATGATTACACCGTATTAACCCTGTCATTGCTGGCGCTCTGTGTAATGATTACACCGTATTAACCCTGTCATTGCTGGCGCCGTGTGTAATGATTACACCGTATTAACCCTGTCATTGCTGGCGCTCTGTGTAATGATTACACCGTATTAACCCTGTCATTGCTGGCGCCGTGTGTAATGATTACACCGTATTAACCCTGTCATTGCTGGCGCTGTGTGTAATGATTACACCGTATTAACCCTGTCATTGCTGGCGCCGTGTGTAATGATTACACCGTATTAACCCTGTCATTGCTGGCGCCTGTGTAATGATTACACCGTATTAACCCTGTCATTGCTGGCGCCTGTGTAATGATTACACCGTATTAACCCTGTCATTGCTGGCGCTCTGTGTAATGATTACACCGTATTAACCCTGTCATTGCTGGCGCCGTGTGTAATGATTACACCGTATTAACCCTGTCATTGCTGGCGCCGTGTGTAATGATTACACCGTATTAACCCTGTCATTGCTGGCGCCGTGTGTAATGATTACACCGTATTAACCCTGTCATTGCTGGCGCCGTGTGTAATGATTACACCGTATTAACCCTGTCATTGCTGGCGCCGTGTGTAATGATTACACCGTATTAACCCTGTCATTGCTGGCGCCGTGTGTAATGATTACACCGTATTAACCCTGTCATTGCTGGCGCCGTGTGTAATGATTACACCGTATTAACCCTGTCATTGCTGGCGCCGTGTGTAATGATTACACCGTATTAACCCTGTCATTGCTGGCGCCGTGTGTAATGATTACACCGTATTAACCCCGTCATTGCTGGCTCTGTGTAATGATTACACCGTATTAACCCTGTCATTGCTGGCTGTGTGTAATGATTACACCGTATTAACCCTGTCATTGCTGGCGCCGTGTGTAATGATTACACCGTATTAACCCTGTCATTGCTGGCGCTCTGTGTAATGATTACACCGTATTAACCCTGTCATTGCTGGCGCTCTGTGTAATGATTACACCGCATTAACCCTGTCATTGCTGGCGCTCTGTGTAATGATTACACCGTATTAACTCTGTCATTGCTGGCGCCGTGTGTAATGATTACACCGTATTAACCCTGTCATTGCTGGCTAACAAGATCCAATCACTGCCTGGCTCCCGTTTGACGTCACCATAACTCCGCCCATCTAGTGGCCGGAAACACTGACGTGACCATGTGACACCCTCTCACTCTAAACCCCGCCCCTTCTAAAGCCCGCCCCCTCCGCGTGTTGTGGAAAGACGGATCTCTGTCTATTGGACGATACTCGTCACGTGACTCTGAGATAAGAGGCTTGAAACGCAAACCCCGGAAATGAAGGGCCTGTCAGAGCGAGATGGGATAATTTCCGGATTCTGATCGGAATCACCAGCTTCACCTCCACCTCTGTGAGTTAATTACCCATAACCCCCTGCTCCCCCTCCTCCATCATTGGAATCTAATTACCCATAACCCCCTGCTCCTCCTCCTCCATCATTGGAATCTAATTACCCATAACCCCCTGCTCCTCCTCCTCCATCATTGGAATCTAATTACCCATAACCCTCTGCTCCTCCTCCTCCATCATTGGAATCTAATTACCCCCCATAACCCTCTGCTCCCCCTCCTCCATCATTGCAATCTAATTACCCATAACCCCCTGCTCCCCCTCCTCCATCATTGGAATCTAATTACCCATAACCCCAACCTCCTGCTCCTCCTCCTCCATCATTGGAATCTAATTACCCATAACCCCTTGCTCCCCCTCCTCCATCATTGGAATCTAATTACCCATAACCTCCTGCTCCCCTTCCTCCATCATTGGAATCTAATTACCCATAACCCCCCTGCTCCTCCTCCTCCATCATTGGAATCTAATTACCCATAACCCCAACCTCCTGCTCCTCCTCCTCCATCATTGGAATCTAATTACCCATAACCCCTTGCTCCCCCTCCTCCATCATTGGAATCTAATTACCCATAACCTCCTGCTCCCCTTCCTCCATCATTGGAATCTAATTACCCATAACCCCCCTGCTCCTCCTCCTCCATCATTGGAATCTAATTACCCATAACTCCCCTGCTGCCCCTCCTCCATCATTGGAATCTAATTACCCATAACCCCCTGCTCCCCCTCCTCCATCATTGGAATCTAATTACCCATAACCCCCTGCTCCCCCTCCTCCATCATTAGAATCTAATTACCCATAACCCCCTGCTCCTCCTCCTCCATCATTGAAATCTAATTACCCATAACCCCCTGCTCCTCCTCCTCCATCATTGGAATCTAATTACCCATAACCCCCTGCTCCCCCTCCTCCATCATTGGAATCTAATTACCCATAACCCCCCTGCTCCCCCTCCTCCATCATTGGAATCTAATTACCCATAACCCCAACCTCCTGCTCCTCCTCCTCCATCATTGGAATCTAATTACCCATAACCCCTTGCTCCCCCTCCTCCATCATTGGAATCTAATTACCCATAACCTCCTGCTCCCCCTCCTCCATCATTGGAATCTAATTACCCGCTCCCCTCCTCCATCATTGGAATCATTACTCATAAACCTCCTGCTCCCCTCATCATTGGAATCTAATTACCCATAACCCCCTCTCATCATTTGGAATCTAATTACCCATAACCCCTGCTCCCCTCCTCCATCATTGTAATCTAATTACCCATAACCGCCTGCTCCCCCTCCTCCATCATTGTAATCTAATTACTCATAACCCCCCTGCTCCCCCTCCTCCATCATTGTAATCTAATTATCCATAACCCCCCTGCTCCTCCTCCTCCATCATTGGAATCTAATTACCCATATCCCCCTGCTCCTCCTCCCCATCAATGTAATCTAATTACCCATAACCCCCTGATCCTAATAATGAGATAATTGAGTTAATACAGTATCTGACTCCATTATCTCCCAGACAGAGGGGAGGGATTGTATGCTGTTTGTGGGAGTGTCATGCATTGTAACATTGTTATTATTGGTCTGTGACTTTGTACCGTAGTTCCCCACAAGGTCCATTTGGGAGTGCCCCTTGCATAGGGATTGTCATAAAAGGCCACGTGTGGCACCATTAATATCAGTTCCAGCTTTACCCTCAACATAGAGCCTTGCCTCATGTTTATAGGGACCTGCTATACAAGCTATAACCACTAGCTATTGTAAGAGCTACACAGCTATACAGGGAGTGCAGAATTATTAGGCAAATGAGTATTTTGACCACATCATCCTCTTTATGCATGTTGTCTTACTCCAAGCTGTATAGGCTCGAAAGCCTACTACCAATTAAGCATATTAGGTGATGTGCATCTCTGTAATGAGAAGGGGTGTGGTCTAATGACATCAACACCCTATATCAGGTGTGCATAATTATTAGGCAACTTCCTTTCCTTTGGCAAAATGGGTCAAAAGAAGGACTTGACAGGCTCAGAAAAGTCAAAAATAGTGAGATATCTTGCAGAGGGATGCAGCACTCTTAAAATTGCAAAGCTTCTGAAGCGTGATCATCGAACAATCAAGCGTTTCATTCAAAATAGTCAACAGGGTCGCAAGAAGCGTGTGGAAAAACCAAGGCGCAAAATAACTGCCCATGAACTGAGAAAAGTCAAGCGTGCAGCTGCCACGATGCCACTTGCCACCAGTTTGGCCATATTTCAGAGCTGCAACATCACTGGAGTGCCCAAAAGCACAAGGTGTGCAATACTCAGAGACATGGCCAAGGTAAGAAAGGCTGAAAGACGACCACCACTGAACAAGACACACAAGCTGAAACGTCAAGACTGGGCCAAGAAATATCTCAAGACTGATTTTTCTAAGGTTTTATGGACTGATAAATGAGAGTGAGTCTTGATGGGCCAGATGGATGGGCCCGTGGCTGGATTGGTAAGGGCAGAGAGCTCCAGTCCGACTCAGACGCCAGCAAGGTGGAGGTGGAGTACTGGTTTGGGCTGGTATCATCAAAGATGAGCTTGTGGGGCCTTTTCGGGTTGAGGATGGAGTCAAGCTCAACTCCCAGTCCTACTGCCAGTTCCTGGAAGACACCTTCTTCAAGCAGTGGTACAGGAAGAAGTCTGCATCCTTCAAGAAAAACATGATTTTCATGCAGGACAATGCTCCATCACACGCGTCCAAGTACTCCACAGCGTGGCTGGCAAGAAAGGGTATAAAAGAAGAAAATCTAATGACATGGCCTCCTTGTTCACCTGATCTGAACCCCATTGAGAACCTGTGGTCCATCATCAAATGTGAGATTTACAAGGAGGGAAAACAGTACACCTCTCTGAACAGTGTCTGGGAGGCTGTGGTTGCTGCTGCACGCAATGTTGATGGTGAACAGATCAAAACACTGACAGAATCCATGGATGGCAGGCTTTTGAGTGTCCTTGCAAAGAAAGGTGGCTATATTGGTCACTGATTTGTTTTTGTTTTGTTTTTGAATGTCAGAAATGTATATTTGTGAATGTTGAGATGTTATATTGGTTTCACTGGTAATAATAAATAATTGAAATGAGTATATATTTGTTTTTTGTTAAGTTGCCTAATAATTATGCACAGTAATAGTCACCTGCACACACAGATATCCCCCTAACATAGCTATAACTAAAAACAAACTAAAAACTACTTCCAAAAATATTCAGCTTTGATATTAATGAGTTTTTTGGGTTCATTGAGAACATGGTTGTTGTTCAATAATAAAATTAATCCTCAAAAATACAACTTGCCTAATAATTCTGCACCCCCTGTACTCTCTTGGAGGAGAGGCCTTCCGTTCCTCCCCATCATTATAATCTGTATTACACTGGGAGCTGCTGCAGCAAGGGGGCTACGGTGCTTATGGTCCTCAGCATCAGCTAGGAAGCATCGATTGATTGAGACAACCAGTTGGGGTGCCCGTCGGTCCGTCACACCCATTACCCCCCTCTCACCATCATTATAATCTTTATCTAATTATCCATAAACACCTGCTCCCCATCGTTATAGTCTGTATCTAAATATCCATAACTTCTTCATCCCCATCATTATAATCTGTATCTAATTACCAATAACCCGTTCCTCCCCATCATTATAATCTGTATTACACTGGGCAGCACTCTGTATAGTGAGTATACCTTTAATTACCCAGAACCTCTTCCTCCCCAATTATTATAATCTGTATTAGACAGCATTCTGCATTGCCCTTTAATTACTCCTAATAAGCGGAGCATAATACTGATCCACTTGTTTTTGGGTTTTTTTGTTTTTTTTTTCCTCTGGGTGAATTTTTCTGATTATCCCTCATCTCAGAACAAGGTCAGCATCTCCAAGAGGTCCAGAGTCCAGTGTTTGGAGAATAAGTTATCGAGTAACTCTCAGACAACAA